TACAATATGTATACAGTGATCACATTGTGAGTTTCCTTTCTCCATCCCATCCTGAGTGTGAACCAATATCTCATAACCCCACAACACCAACCAGATATCGTAGGAGTTGTAGAACTGTTGTACAAGAACAGGAGAATCGACCCAGAGGAATGTGAGTTCAGTTTTGCTGGATATGACTCATTGACGAACCTTTCTCAAGAAACTTGCAAGAGGGGTGTAGTTATCTATGCTAGGCAAGACCTTAGAGCCAGCCAGGCGAGGGTACAGGGAGAGGATGTTTTTGAAGAGTCCAAGTAGTGTAAAATTAAATTAAAGGGAGGGGACTTACTTATCGTCGGGTGTATCTACAGATCCCCAAACTGTGGCCCACTAAATCAAAGGAACTTAAGATCCTTAATAAACAATGCAGCAATGCTCAACCCTAGCCACCTCCTTATCTTGGGGGACTTTAACTATGGTGACATTGACTGGAGAAACGAGTCCACCCCAAATGACTTGAATAACCCTGCTACTTTTTTGTAGAAACTCTGAGAGATAATTCTCTGTTCCAACATGTTAGAAACCCAAGCCACTTGATCTTGTAGCGGATTCCTCCCCTACAAAAGCCGTTTGTCGCTGACTAGCCGACCCTCGAATTCCCCAGTGTATGCCTCGTGGTCTAGGTCAGCAACCAGCGCCGCCTTACATGACTGAGGTCAACTATTAAGCCACGTCTACCTCAGCTATATAAGACCTCACCTCGTGGTGACCTATCTCTTTCTACCTACAACCACCAGCAAGCAACACCTCCTCCTCCGCTCCTGCCTGGCGGCTCCGCTCTAGCCGGCGACCATGGCGACCCACAAGCTGGTCCTCTGAACATCCTCACCAACCAGCTCTCTCTACTCAACGCTTGTAACCATGCTGCCTTCCCAGCACCAAGCAGCATTGTACATCCAATACAATATGTATACAGAGAGCACATTGTGAGTTTCCTTTCTCTATCCCATCCTGAGTGTGAACCAATATCTCGTACCTCACAACCTCATCATAACAAACGAGGAGGGTATGGTGGCCAAACTGGACCACCTTGCCCCAGTTGGCACCAGTCACCATATAGTGTTGTCATTCAGATTTAACTGTTACCTAGTTCAGGATAAGGCCAGGCCAAGGTGCAAATATTACAAGGGAAATTACAATGGGATGAGGGGCATCAACTGGCCTGACTCGTTAAGGTACAAGAACGCAGACACTACTCCGAATATCATAACTTGTAAAGTGACCCATTTGATCGATAAATATATACCCAAGACCAAACCCAGTGCTTCTACGAATACGAGGGGATCACTACACATGAACCATGCGGCGGTCGACAAAATTAAGAAGAAAACCTAGAAATTCAAGACTTGGGTTGGGTCAAACGATGAGCAAGACAGGAGGATGCATGCAAGAGACAGAAACCAAGCAAAGATAGAGTGTAGAAGGGCTGAAAAGGAGTTCCAGAGACTGGTTGCAAGCGAGGTCAAGTCAAACCCAAAGGTGTTTTACCGCTATGCAAAGTCGAAATTGATAACACGAGTAGGAGTATCGGACCTGAGGCTTGTGGAGGGTAGTTACGCAGATTCTGATTAGGATAAAGCTGAGGCATTGAACAGCATCTTTTCCTCGGTGTTCACAAGAGAGGATGCAACTAACCTTCCTGCGTTTGAGGACAGACGGTTCGACACAGCACTGACCCACATTGTGTTCACAGAAGAGGGTATTAGAAATAAACTGTCCAGGCTAAAGGTCCATAAGAGTCCCGGCCCTGACATGGTGCATCCTAGAGTACTAAGAGAGTTGTGCAACGAGCTTGCAGAGCCCCTGAAGATCCTGTTTTATAAATGCCTGGATAAACAAATGGTCCCCAGTGAATGGAAAGTCCTATCTTCAAGAAGGGCGATCGGCACTCCACGAACAACTATAGACCGGTGAGCCTGACTAGCATAATATGTAAAGTACTTGAGAGTATTATCAGAGATGCCGCAATGGAATATCTAATACGAAACAATCTTGTAAAGGATTGCCAACACGGTTTTATGCCAGGGCGCTCCTGCTTAACACAATTGCTCAAGGTATTGGATATTTGGACCCATATTCTGGAACGGGGTGGTAATATCGACAATATTTACCTAGATTTTGCCAAGGCTTTCGACAGTGTACCCCATGAAAGGCTGAAAATCAAACTGGAAGGGTACGGAATTCGGGGAAATGTCCTAGCATGGATAGAAGACTTTCTACATGACTGCAAGCAGTGTGGTGATTAATGGCACGAAATCGTCATCCGTACCTGTCACAAGTGGGGTACCACAGGGCAGTGTATTGGGCCCGCTGTTGTTTGTTTGTTTCATAAATGACATGCCTGACGTTGTACACTCCTCCATACAAATGTTTGCCGATGACGCTAAGTTATTTCGGGAAATTAAGAACCAAGCTGACTGTGAAGAGCTGCAGAAGGACCTCTGTGTGCTCCAGGAATGGTCGAAGGAATGGCTGCTGAGATTCAATGTCACGAAGTGTAAGAGGATGCACCTGGGGCGTACCAACGGTAAGGAGGCGTATCATATGTTCCAACGGGATGAAGAAACTGCACTAGTTGAGACTGAATGTGAGAAGGACCTAGGTGTGTATGTTGACAATGAGCTGAAGTTCTCGGGCCATTGCGAGAAGGTAAACCAGGCAAATACATTATTGGGTCTTATAAGAAGGTCGTTCAGATATCTAGATGGTCCGTCCCTCATAACAATCTTCAAGAGTGAAGTGCTTCCCCATCTGGAGTACTGTCACCCCATCTGGTCCCCGAGATATGCTAGGGACTGTCAGTTGGTTGAAAATGTTCAAAGGAGGGCCACCAGACTGGTGCCTGCACTTCGGCACCTCAGCTACCCTGAGAGATTGGAGCGCCTGAACTTGCTTAGCTTATATTACAAACGGGCAAGGGGTGACCTAGTTGAGGTGTATAAGCATCTCAGGGGGCACTACTCAATCGAGTGTCCTTACTTGGAGCTGGCGGACGCTCTTTCCTCACAGCCAAACTGTGGAATGCTTTGCCTTCTGTGTTTCCATCCTCTTACAATCAGTTTCATTTCAAAAAGATTGTTTTGTGGTGTAGATTAATATACTCTTTTTGTCCTCTGATTTTTACTTTTTTTATTCCTCCCCCCTCAGGCTCTGTTGTGGGTCAGTGACCTGTGCCCAGGTGGGATATTCCCTATAAAAAATATTATTAGTTTTACTGTACAATATTACCAATACCTAATAAAGCCTTCCTATGTTGCTCATCAGAAAGAAATAGTGCAGCTATAAAGGCATCTCTATATAGTTCTCTGTGTTTTAGGAATCCTTTGTTGGAGTGTAGGTCATTTATCAATAAAAATGTAGAAAATCCCAGATTTACGAAAGTTCCATTCTTGGAAACCTTTTATAAATTGAAATACGTTTTATCATAGATTCCAATTATAAAAGATGAGATACGTTCCTACAAAAAATAAAGACATTCAATACATAGAACAATAAGGACATTCAAGACATAGAACAATACTTAGAGACAATGCTCTGGACAAGGCTCTCTCTTTCTAGAGAGTCCTTACATCTTATCTTCCCAGCCTGGTCACACAGACCAGCAAACTAATACTGTACTACTACACACTGAAGGCAAACAATACACAGAGACACATATAAGTCCAGAAGGGACGGATGGGTCGATGTGACAGTAGTGACTGAGATATGGGTTTGGGTCATTGGGAGGACCTGGACGGAAGTTCTGGTTGCCTGTAGCACATGCCACTTCATGAACATTCTCGACTTTTCATAGCCTTGGTGTTGTCCTGTCAATCTGTGATACAGACATTTATTTATCTGCTGTTTATATCATGCACGGCCTATTTGTGAGACGAATTTATTTTTATTTGTTTTTTAAACGTTCCAGAATATAATCGCATGGGGGGAGGGGTGCTGACCATAGCCCGAAGCCCAGGAATTAAATAAAGCAACTCTCCCAGCAACCTAACAAACATGACAAAATGCAGGGCCGGATTAAGCTTAATAGGGGCCTGAGGCACAGATCAACTTGGGGCCCCCTACCCTCAAGGTATATATATATAGCAAGAACTAAATATACCAAAATTTATCAATGATTTCATCAATATTAAGCTTTTGCAAAATAACACATTTAATGTTCATAAGAGACGGAAAATTGAGATGTTGCTAGGACATCGTTGAACGAAGTTCATGTTTTATATGCTTCAACTTTGAGAATGTTTGGATTTGGGGGCCCCTTAGTCGGGGGCCAGTGCCTCAAGTGCCTCATGGTTAATCCGGCACTGACAAAATGAAAGTACAGAATAGTAGGGATCTTGTCAGTCAACAGACCTCCATTACAATAACAGATAAAGGTATATTAAAACTAGGTAAATATGGAGGAGATAAAACTATATCTTACTAAAAGATGACAAAGAAAATACCAGATGTCTGACCAAAGGCTATATTGCTACTGTACTGTATAAACGAACAGTAGTTATGGAAGAAAATTAAGAGTGTTGAACAGGGTTACCAGGCTTATTTTTGCTCTCCCACTAACATATTCTTGATCGAATTACACTGGCTTCCAATTAAAGCAAGGATAGAGTTTAAACTCTTTCTAATGACTTTTAAGACAATAATGTTTGGTAAGCCTAAGTATTTGACCAACCTATCAAAATCTCATTGTATATTCTAAAATGATTTTATGTCGTAGTGATGATCCTTCACACCTTCAGGAGCCTGGAGCAGTACGGGAATATTCTTTTGCTGCCCAATTCTTTTCTTTTACCACACCCAGATAGTACAATTAGTTACCTGCATACGGGAAGCAGCTAACCTTTGTGGAGGCCTTAAGAAAAAACTTAAGACACTTCTTTCTTTTTAACAGGGTATGGCAGTGGAGAATTACAGGATTTAGGAAGTACTAAAATTTATGGGTATATGAATGATAGAAATCAAACTGCCACTTTTTGTGATCTTTTATTGTAGTACAGTACATTATTTATTTTTAATCTCGAGTCTTTCACTTTATAGTGCTTTGAGAACTCGTGAATTCTTTAGAAGAATTTGTGCTTCTGAGAAACAAAAGACCAGCTATTATTATTATTATTATAAGTAGAGAAGAATCAATTTCCTGAGTATTCCAAGGAAGTGTATGGTTTCAGTGGTGATTAATAGAGGTAAAATGTAACCGAGTGCAAGATAGATGTAAGATTGGGAGGATTCAGAAATTTGGGATGTACAGACTAAATTTTTACAGTAATTGTGTTTACAGAAGAGGGTACAGTACTGAAAAAAATAGGAAAGAGTGTGTAGACTTTAAAGATCTGGGAGAAGGCCTATGACAGGTGGATGAGGAGGCATTGTGGGAACAGTGTGGTATATAAGGAGAAGTTATGGAGTTGGAGGAAATACCTTAGTTCAGGTAAAGGACAATATATAAGAGGGTGATTATAAAACTGGGAGGTAGTTTTTAGGGAATGAATATAAACTTGATGTAAATAAGGAACTGAGGAATAGCACAATGCTTTCTATCTTGACATTTAGTAGTGAAACATGGCTTTGAAATGAAGTATAATCTTTTAAAATTGAAGTAAAATAAAATATATTAATTTTAATTACCAAAGGGATGTCTCTGGAGGTTAACAGACAGGATGGATTAAGAAAAAATAGTGAGTTGTTTTGGAATGATGGGAGCAGAGGATGTAAACTGTACAGCAGTGGAAAATGTGAAGAGATTCTTTGAGATGTTATGGAAATGTGAGAAGAATGCATGAGGATAGGAGAGTAAAGAGGGTGTACATAGGTAATGTAGTGGATGCACTGGGTAAAGTAAGTAAGAAGTAGTTGGGTACCCTGCAGATTCTTCTGTAATGGCCTCAGAGAGGAGCTCCCTCAGGGAATGAGACATTGCAGACAAGAAAACTCCATAACAACATGAACTGGCCCTAACAGCAGCCAATTTCAAATCACAACCCTGCTTATATAGATTTTTCACCCATTATCACAGGCTTCTTCAAGTCATATTCCTTCCTGACTTCTTCAAGTTCTTGATTGGCATCAATGACCAGTACTGGGGCTGGTGGTGCACAAGGCAAATGATTTAGTAACCACTTCTCATAGTAACTGTGCACCTGAGAAAAAAGATGAAAGTTAAAAACTTTAATAAGGGAAAATAATAAATTCTTCCACATTAATTTTGGCAATACACTTTGCTTCCACTATAACCTATTCATCTTTGCCATTCATAAGAACATAAGAATGGAGGAAACTGCAGTGGGCCTATTGGCCCATACTGGGCAGTCCCATTTACACCCAACCCCTATTGCTCATATAAGCATCCAACCTATGTTTGAAGCTATCCAGCATATTCGAGTCAAGTTTTACAGTAAAGTAAATAGTATTTGTAGATATTAAACTTAATAACTGATAGATATCACACTCAAAGAATAATAAAACAAAAACTCTGACCGACTCCAGATTACAGCTGCTTAAAATACATCTCACGTGTAAAAACTGTAAGTACAATTGAGGCATTGCAGATATTAGGAGCAACAACCTTGCAAAAATCATGTTTTGAGAAAATGAGCTTCAAAGTTTTTCTACACAAAAATTACAATAATTTAACCGAATATAAATCAATTTTCATGGGATTTATACCATATGGTTGCAACATGTTTGGGGAGATGGAAGGCCCAGCCACCTACCCCAGGTCCTAACTGGTATCCGCGGGCCAAACACTGATAGTATGTACGCTCGTCCAACAGACACCCCTTGAAATGAAGGTTAATTTTCCCAATATTGATGATGACCTTGCACCTTGGGACATTGACCATTTTCTACTACAGATTCAGGAGAAATATAAATAATAAAACAGACTTTGCATCCATATCGAGGTTGTCGCTAATATCCGCAATGCCTCAATTTAATAAATAACAAATGCTATATGCAACCCAACATACTGTATACACAACAATCAACCAGAAAATGAAGTGTTACATGGTTTGAGCACCTGAAGATTAACAACAGGTTGGAAAAAGATTAATATAAAAAATTGAAGTAAATTTTGATGAATTGAAAGGTGGTAATCATTTATCTACTATCAACACTCCTTTCCCAGTTGTATGGTTAAGGAGTACAGAAATCTCAAAGGAGGGGTAAACAATAAGGAGTCTTACAAGGCAAGTGTAGAAAATGAAAGACAATGGTCTCGTACAACCCCTATAGAAAATCTGCAAATTTAACTGAGGTGAGGGTAAGGGACACTAACCACTTTTAAATATTTGAGAGGAACGTCAGCCTCCTCGGATCGACCTCTTTTCATCATCCTACTGTGGACCACTTCCGGTGTAGTTCTCAAGTATACTGCAAGGAATAAATAAATAAATTTAAATTGAAAAAAAATAATAATAATAATAATTTTGCTTCTTATTTGCCTCTTTCTTTCATATTCTGAGTCCATGCTATATGAATGTGAAACTGGGACTCTGGGTGAAAGAAGAGGTATCACATTTGAAGCAATAGAAATGAGAGCAAAATATGGGATAAATAGGATGCAAGGAATAAGAAATGCAGATACAGGTTGTACCTCTCTAGTCCGGCATTCTGTGGTCCAGAAACTCCCGTGGTCCGGAACAATTTTAGTTTGTCCAATAGGTAGATAGGCAGCTTTTTTTTTCTTATCTGAATTATTATTATTATTATTACAGGAGTATTAAATTTTTGCTCCTCAGGCCCCAATGTGGGTCAGTGACCTATGCCCGGGTGGGCTAATCCCCGTAAAAAAACAACAACAACAAAGCCGCGAGAAATTAAGGTTTGTTTACATCCAGCAGTTCGGCTGCTCTCTCTCTCTCTCTCTGCTTGTCTATACAGAGTACAACATTTAACCCTTCAATATATATGAGCAGTAAATAAGTGTTGCTTTCATATTCTTATGTAGAGTAATGACGATATGTTTTCACATGTAATAATAAATAAATAATAATAATTAACGGTTTATTGAAAAAGTTCTGCAGCCCGAAGGCTGAAAATATACATTGGACATAAATGACTTATTACATACATTGGTGGTTTAACAAAAGCGCACTCACCTTTTTTTTACCATCAAAGGTTAGCTACTTATATTGTTCCATTTATTAACATTAAATAACATTACAGGTACTTCAAACAATATTAATTTTTTTACATTAATTTTACTACAGCTACAACCAGGGTCTTATTTTCTTCAGTTTTATATGTAGAACCAATCAGTCACTGGTTTTGTAAGCTTTAACATTAACAATGCCGGCAGCCGTCTCGTCTCCTCGTGTGTTTTAATATTCCACGTATTATTAATAAATTGTATTGTTAATTTTGCACACACAAACATTAATTCAATAAAAACAAATTCAGAAACATTAATTAAAATATATATGAACAGTAAATAAGTGTTGCTTTCATATTCTTATGTAAAGTAATGACGATATGTTTTCACGTGTGCGAACTTACATACGCGATCTCTCTTTTTTTCTTTACCATTATAGTTAGCTACTTCTATTGTTCCATTTATTAACATTAAATAACATTACTTAAAACAACCATATTAATTTTACTACAGCTACAGACAAGGTCTTATTTTCTTCAGTTTTATATGTAGAACCAGTCAGTCACTGGTTTTGTAATCAACGAAAACAATGCTGTCTGATTTCCTTGCGTTTTAATATTCTACGTATTATTAATGAATTGTATTGCTCATTTTGCACACACAAACATTAATTCAATCAAAAAGACTTTCAGTAATAAACAACAATGAATCTTTTGTACATAAGAGAAATGATGCTGTTTACACGATTGTGCACGTCGTCTGAACGTTGGTGGGCCGTTCAAACCCGTCGAAATTCGAGTTTCCGCCGTCAAAATTTTTAAATGTGTTGTTTTTTTTGTGTTCAAATAGAAAACGTCGAATTAAAAACTCACGAAATTTGAGAAGCTACTGTACGACATTAAACCCTTCAATATGTCTTCAAAGAGACCATGAAGCAGAGAAAATGGTGCTAGTGCTTCCAAGCCAAGTCACTATCTATCCAGGTAAAGGGTGAATTTCCATGGTCCAGAAATTTCCATGGTTCGGCACCGGTCAGGTCCCGAGGTTGCCGGACTAGAGAGGTACAACCTGTATCAGTCTGAAAATAACAGAAATTTGGACAGAGAGCTGATCAGGAATTGCTGAGGTGCTATTGGTAAAGTATCAAGTGTGATTCAAATGTAGATGGTAAGAGAGGAGAAGATGAACTGGAAGCAAGGATGGAGTGAAGGAAATACTGTCAATGATATGACACCATGATACCAAGTGGTTTATAGGGATATCACAGAAGAGGAAATGAATGACAACAAAAAGAAGAGAGCTTTGAGAGTTTGTTTTTGCTAAAAGCAACCTTTATGTCTTTATACTAAGGCGAAGTAAAGAACCTTGGCCAAAGGAAGGATACTTTCCCAGTCACATACTCTGGTCAGGATTAATTTGCTACCAGTGTGGACCCTGAGATCACTCTAGTCAAAATATCCTTGCTTTGTATTTGGGAGAAATATCCACTATTTAAATTTTAGAGTCACATTGTAAACCTATCTAATCTTTGACAAGCAGAAATAATATAAATGACGGCACAGTATACAGAGCAGATAAGACACAAAAAGGAAAACAAATAACCAGCCACTTTTGGAGACAGATGTAGAGGTAGCTAAGTTATGAACAAAATAATGAATAATAAGGTTTGTGCAGTAAATTAGCTTCTAACAAGAGAAAAATTGATAGAATAAGATATGTGGGATACTTCAACCATATAATTAGGGATGAGCAAATAATGGTATGAGATTTTAAAAGATAAAATTGAAGCTAAGAGGGCCTGGGATGGGTGAATTAATTTAAAATCTGGGTCTCTGTAAAGATGTAAATTTTAAGAAGTTTGGTTATGATGCAAAAAAACATTTGGAGTGGAGTGCCATAGTTGCCAACCATCAGACATGAGGAGAACACCTTTATTGAATAATTAACTGTTATACCAATGAATACAGGCATATAGCCATTGTCCAACATACACATAAGTATCATCAGTGACTTAAGATGCCTGGAGTACACTCTCACCAAAACTTCACGAACGCTATAAGCACTGTGTAATCTGAAAAATGAGCAAAGAATCTGAAACCATTCCAAGATGACAAGCCCTATTCTGCTCATTCTCACATTCATCATGCCCAGGTGTTTGAGCAGTTTTGTTGAGAGTGTACATACAACAAAACTCAATGAGAGATGGCCAACTTGATAACTATAATAATGATAATAAACTGAATTTCACACACCCAGTATGTTACCTACCAATAAGATCAATTCCAATGTCCAGTTTAGATTCAAGGAGGTCATAGTATTCACAAAGAACACTGTATTCTGGTTCTTTCAGATGGCCACAGTCATGACCACTCTCTAAAAAACAGTACCTATAAAGTTTATCAAACATTAGTGAATTCACAGTTCACTCTGGTCAATAAGATTCACTTGGCTCTAAAATCACATTACTTTTATGTGGTACAATGAATTTTAAATCTATAATGCAATATTCATTTACTATGAAAGACATACTGTACACCAGTGGTCCCCAACCTGTAGTTCTGGCAATAGTGGAACCATACTGTATTATGGAGCCTGCAAGGGTTTATGAGAAAATTGTGAATTATTTGGGATTCTTTGTAAGAGTGAGATTAATGACAATATGTAATAACTTGATACAAATGTCATTTACAGGACATGTGTATTAAACCCAGACTGGGCCCAGAGATAGAGCCAGCCTTCTCACTGGGATAAATACACACATCCTGCCCAAAAGTAAATGGAAAAGGTATGCAACTGGTAACAGTTAGACGAGTAAAACTGCAAATAAATGTACAGTATACATGTATATGATTGTTTTCCTGAATGTAGATCCTAAGTTTTGGCGCCCTCCACTATATTTACAACGATAAACGTGGCCCAGAACCTACAAAAGGTTGGGGACCATTGGTGTATACTGTACATACTCTAAATTATTAGTCCTATAAAAAGACACCTTCATAGGGTGGTCACAGTGCTATCTGTATCTATTACTCCAATCTATTACATACATCCCCAGCATAACTTAAAAAGAGCATGCAAGTTTCTACATCACAATTAATTAATCCCTAATCTGCAGCTATTGAAAAACTGGCTTACTGCTGTATGTGCAATAAAAATCAAGATTCTTAAAAAACAAGATATATAAATGGTATTCACGTATAATTAACGACATGCATGCAGAATAAAAATTAAAATATTCGAGAACTCATTTATTTACAATTCTTCACCCATTGTGGAATGTTTCTGTGTGTGGAGGCCGAGGTACTAAGGGGAAGGAGGGAGGGTAAGGAAAGAGGAGCTGGGGGTGGGGTGGTGGGGGCACTGTCACTAAAGGCAATGAACATGTGTCTTCCATGATGAAAAAGATAAGTAAGAGCCCTATTGAGATGTGGGTCGTTTGAGGTCTACTGGGATATGTGAGGTGCTTTATGAATGCTAACATTAGTGCACAATTTAAAAAAAAACCAGTTGTTCGCATATGATGTACACTCGCAACAAAAAGTATCGGTGCATACTGTAGTGTGAACAATTTGAGACCAGTGACGATAGGTATTGGGAAAGGCGAGTTGTTCCAGCTGTATGTTGGCAGCCCTGATTGTCAGCCATATGGCAACACCTAGTGAAGGGGGGGGGGGTTATGAGGATACACTTACCAACCTTCCCGACATATCACAGTGTATACGTATCGTTTCGGAACTCGTCGATCTCACCCTGCACCGATACTTTATGGTGCGAGTGTACATCACAGTCGTATAACTGACTGATTTATGGAATTTAAGCTCAAAGCCAAGCACTGCATAGTTGCATGGGTGGCCTGAGGTCTCATATGAAGAACATCAGTTGTATAAGTGGCCTCATATAAGGGATGTCAGTTGCATAAATGGCCTCATGAGAAGGATATCACAGTTGTATTAGTGGCCTCGTGTGTGGGATGTCACGGTTATATAAATGGCTTCATGTGAGGGATGCTACAGTATAAGGGTTAAGTCGTAACCTTATCAAAGGTAATATTAATTTTCAGTCACAGCACAACAAGATATACTGTGCATGATACTGAAGAGCTCTAAGTAATAGTAAACACCAATCACATCAAAATCCAGCCCCCTTCCTTCTAAGTTGCCTTTTTTTGTAAGGGATTGGCGTGATGTTCTGACACTCATAACTGAAAACTAAGCATGTCACCTATTATTCTGAAGTGATCTTTCTATCAGCTTAACGGGGCTGCTGCTCTGCTGGAGATGAATGTTGAGGCGCGTTAGTTGAACATATGACTGGAATAGGAAGCTCCACCGTTCTGGGTCTTCATACAGCTTCCCAAGTAGATTATGACCCCCAAGATTGGTCCACAAGTCAATAGGTTCCTGAAATATACTATGTATTGTACTGTACTTTACTATCGTGGACAAAAGTTCGCTCCCTGTAGTGAAACTGAGACACGGGAATGAGTCTTCGAACTGACTTACCCTGATTGTTATCTGGTGCGGGTGTGCTGTGCGGGTCGATACTGCTTCAGTTTGGGAAGGAGCGAACTTTTGTCCACGATAGTACAGGGTACTACTAATTTTGCTTAGACTCAATAGGCACCCAAGCATTTTGTTTTGTCTAAATTCAATTGAGAATTTCTCAAATGAACAAGTTTCCTTATACAAATTGTTCACAACATCTGAAAAACTATTTTAAGATTACCTACCACATAAAGCGGAACTCTCTTAAATTAAGTAGTACAGTATATAACTACGTATACAGTAAACTCTCTACTTCCATAGTCTCCAAGTTCAAAATATCTATATAAAACAATAAATCAATTCAAATTATATTTTCCAAGCCTGATATGTACACCATTTGCGATACCACAGATGTCAGGATCGTGGTAAAAAAACAAAACATGACACATTACTTACTGTAATGTATGGTGACTGAAAATTTTCAAATGAGAAATTTTAATTAAAGAGTATTTTCCTGCATTACAAATACTTGTATCCTAAGAAAAGTTTGGTTTGAATCCAAAGCAAATGAAGGGTGGAGTAGGTCATCATTTACAATAGAGCCCATCTGATGAGCAGATGCAGATTGGTATATACAGTACTTTGTAACTTGACTTGAGAGAAGTGTGGCTGCTACACCGTGACATCACTTGTCAAACATACTACAGGGTATTTCACTTCTAGGACCCACCAGCACTCATGGGTGGTAAGTACAATGAAAATTTTGTATTTTTCTATTCACTTTCATTTTTGGCTTTCCTAATGTGCCCTTACTGTATAGGATATACAGGTACAGTATTGAGAGAATGAGTAGTGCAAGACTGGTAAAAAAAGAAGGTACTGTACAATAATTCACAGATTGAAAGTAAGTTTCTAACATACCTGGTGTGTGGCCACTCCTGGCGTGGCAGAAAAGTACTGCAAGAAGGTAGATTTACCACTGCCAATGTTACCCTCTATGGACACTGTGAAAGGCCGGGATCTCATCTTCATCTCTGATGGCATCTAGTGAATGAAAAGACAATACTGCATTGTATCGTATTTGTATACGGTTACTGTGAGAATGTGAAAGCATGAAAATAAATGTAAATGCTTGCACACTACTTATAAATCAAAGATGACGTGTCTCTTTTTATATAGAGTATATTCTGTTAACACTGCACATAATCCCTCTGCCTTTCTATCACACATACAGTACTGTATATGTCTATTTACTTGGTACTCCGAGTCTGTGCTCATATTTCTCAGAAATTTAATTACTTCTTAAACCCAGAACCCAGTTGTGAGAGGTACATGTTACTGCTGTATCACAACACCCCATTTAATGAATTTTGCTCATATAGTACATATTTTTTCTGTCTTCCACAATTATTTTATGGTTTGAAAATTAAAATTATTATATACAGGTATACTGTGAATGTTTCAATTTGGGAGGCAATGGCATCACTTCCTAGTTCTATGTAGGCTTCAACGTTAACCAGACCTGTTCAATAACCGACTCCAAATGTTTTTTTACCTTACCCCCATAACTACCCTGAGTTGAGGTAAACTATGTAATAGGTTAACAAGTACTGTATATTAATAATAATGTCAGGAAGTATAAGTAAATAATTAATTAAGACCTTATTAATGATGCAAGGGATAAAGAAGGGTCCTGCCTACCATCTACAATACAAACTACTGTACAAGTATTACCCGCTAACATGATATAAGTTCCTTAAACTACGGTGCTGTTTGAATTTGTATTAAATGAATCCAAAAAAACCATTGAAAATCATGTAAAAAGTGAGAGATATGTGTTGGAGGGAAAGAGAGAAGAGTATGATGATTAACAAGCAAGCATTAATGTATTATGTGTTTAATACAATGATATAGGCACAGTACAGGGCATGAGACCACATTCCCAAAACATACACCAAAAAATTCCTTTAAGGCGACACTTTTTCTCACTTCACTACTAAAACTCATCATTTCAAAACACTTTTTTTTATCAATTATAAACAAGTATCCCTCGCTTAACAAATAGATTAGGTTCTTTAAACAATTCGCTATGTGAATTTTCGTATCTTGAATAATATAACACACGGGAAAAATAAGGTTCGGCTCCCCAATGACAAGAAAACCCCCAAAACATGAAATTCGTTCACAAACAAAAAAATGCTACACAACAATTGTAATTTACTACCTAACAAATTAAGGATAAAATAAAATACAATTTAATATAACTTTGCTACATTACCTTAAGGGAGGGCAGTCAGGGTTCATCAAAATGGGTGAGGAGGGATGGACTGAATAAGCGCCTTACTCAGCGAGATGAGGAGGGCAGTCCACCTAATCATTGCTGTTTGCTAAGGACACCACAGTCACATCAGAGACGGAAGGAGCGGAAGTAAATCCGCTGGTGGAGGGAGTGGAACTAGAAATTGAGGATGCAGTTATCCATGATTTGGAGATGGACCAAGATCTTTCCTGATCTTTGTAGGGTCCTCATTATGTTCATGAAGCTTTATTACCTCCAACTTCGTCTCAAGAGTCATAGCCATACTAATTTTCTGTAGCCAAAGAATCACCAGAACATTTGGATGCGAACAGAATAATGAGAGGATGGAACACAGATAAAAATATGCATTTCCCACATACAAATAGCAAAACGAAAGATGCGGGCTGTGTGGGGATGCAGGATAGAAGAGGCGAGGGGGGGTTGATCAGTGAGTGAGAATACATCTCTGTGCATCTCTCCAAGTTGGCTGCCTCAGCTGACTCCCAGGGGTACATGAATTAAATTTTTGCTAGGACTAAAACTTTTATAAGCAAGGGTAACTTTCATTAAATATGAAGAAGTTTTAAATTAGGAAATTCGTAAAAGTGAATTTTCATATTTCGAACATTCATAACGTGAGGGATACCTGTATATAGTAAAGCCCCTAGTCCACTCACTGGCGATACAGTACAGTACCACTACTTTTGCTTAAAGTATAGGTACAAACCCTTCAGCAATAACAACTCCAAGCTTTTATTTATTTATATTTATTTTTACGGGAATTAGCCCACCCGGGTCACAGGTCAAATGACCCACAACGGGGCCTGGGGGGTGAAACTTAACTAAGTACAGTACTGCCCCTCTGCAGCATTAATTTTTTTTATCCTAACAAAAATACTTTACATACCTCCGATGCAATGAAGCCAAAGCTTTTTTGTAGAATCAAGGATGCTGGTAAAGGTGACATCCCTGTTTTTGAGGAGCTCATTATTGAACGACTGTGAAAGTTTCTCTTTGGTGGTGATAAGTGAGAGTCCACAAGCAACTTTCTTGTGGTGGATTCATCAAGGCTGCAACCCTCAAGGAACTCCATTGAGGAGTCTTCTGTAACAGCAACTTTAATTGTCGATTCAGTCAACACTTTAGAACACATTCTGAAATAGAGAAAAACTAAATTAAATGAAAAAAAAATACCAGGGATGTTAATTACCATACCTTTATACCTTACACTGTGGCGACCAGTGGTGTAATGGTCAGCATCCTCGCAAGTGAGCAGACTCGGCTTCGACCCCAGGGTAGTGTGAAACCATGGACAGGTTTCTTTATGCCATTTGTCTCTGTCTAGCCAACAGTAATTGGGGACCTGGATGTTAATCGATTTGCGGATTGTGTTCCAGGGTGATGGTTAGCCAGTGCAGTTGGCGAGTTGTCTGGTCTTCTTGGACAATTCCTTGACACTGGGTCATGCAGATCATTAACTCAGGGTGTGGTTGTTGTGTTGGTGACAGATTCTACACTTTAAACAAATTCACGCCTAGGTTGGGCTTGGGCCAGCCATCCTCATACACAGGGGGCAACCATTATTATTTATTGTACCTTACACTACTTTTTAAAACTGTAACCATACACTGAAAAATGAAGCTATTAAGCACAATCCAGTTTTATCAGTCCCTAGTTTGGATGAGCTGATTGGTTGGATGGTTGCACGACAAGTTGCATGGCCACTGTCAAAATTACCACCATATTTTTTCACTTTTTTTTTAATATTAAAATTGATGTAAAGTTTCTGGCAATTTGCTGTTGAGGGGTTCAGTATAGGTAATATGAAGCATGAAATACCAATGTCAGATTTTTCCAAGTCAACCTGTGATGTAAACAGTGAGTAACTCTAGAAATAATGTTTTTTACCATCAACAGATCAATTAATGTAACATCCTCATTTCTTAGGATTGACAACTTCAGTTTTCAAAACATTTATCTTTTGCAATCCTTGAAAGTTTTGCATTTATCCACCCCAAGGTCTGCCCACAGCCTCAGGTAGACCAGTGCACACTATTCAGGCCTATAACATCACTCAGGATAAGACATGACTATCATGTTCTCTCTGACTCTGTTAACAAGCCCCCATAACAACCGTAATTACAACTCCTATACAGTACAGTATTCTGTTAAAAACACTTTCCTGGACACTGTTGATGTGTTACTGGAGTATTGCCAAAATAAGAATACAAGGGGTCCTCGACTTACAAACACCCGCCGACACGAACAGGGTTAAACTTGAAATTCATAGTACGTATTTTATTTACCAGATGACTTATTTTTTTACTTTCATTTACTGTATTTTCATTCTATTTCTTCTTTTGTCTTAAATTAATTAATTTTAGATGTACAGTACAGTATATAGGGACTTAGGCTATGATATAGTGGGATTTTAAACAGTGTTCTGTAAGTACAGTAGGGGGCAGGGAAAAAACACTTTTATTTGAGTTGCAGGCTGCACTTTTCAGGCATCGTTTGTATGGCTGTAACAAACACCTGTGCAAAATTTCATGCCATTTCATGCATACTTACCCTGCCGTATCGCGAACGACTTTTTGTCAACTTTTAGTGTATACCAAAAATTAGGTGTCATTTAATGTTTTCCAGGATAATGATAAATTTTACATGGGTGACATCGATTTAATTCACATGTTATTTTACAGGTACACCGTATAGAAAATCATTACAAGTTCATATTGACATTCTTTTTTGTGCGGAACCTTGGCATCATTTTCCTAGACAATAATCTTTGCCTAATATATCCATCTCTCGATTCGTATCCCGTCACTTCAGTGCAAGCTTCAGTCATCACTTTTATGCCTCTCTCGACCGCCTGAGTGCTGTTTGGCCACTTGGGCACCACTAATGGTGTCTCAAGAATGTCATTAACCTGTAGATTTGACAGAGAAGCAATGTAAGGAGGCTCAGTCTTGAGTTCATTCCTCCAGTTAATCATGGAATGATAGTTTTTTGCTTGCCACTTTAGTTTCGGAGTCACCACCTTTCTCATGTTGACTACAGGAGGCACATCCTCATTCCCATCACCATCTTTACCCTCCTCATCAGTATAGTTTAACAAATTCTCGTCAACAGCAGCATCAGAATCTTCCTCCTCCTCTTCAGATCTGCCAGTGCATTCTTCCTTTTGCTGATTCTCCTCTCTAATTTTTCTTATCATTGAGACAGCTTTTTCTCTAACAGTCATGTCCTCATCTGCACACATACCAAGAAGAAGTTGATCTGTGTGGGCGAAGTATGCATTTCTCTGGACAGCCTTCTTCACTATCGTCTCCTCCTCACTATTCAGGTGTTTCATATATAGCAGGGACTGGAATACGTTCCTTGAGCCGTGTGTTACGTAAGGGTGTATCTTGATGTAAAACCACATTGGAGCACTGAACTTTATTATTGTAATGACAATTCTTTTCAACTCATGGCTGGGTCTTGATGTTGCTACATACAGCCTGAGGATTCTACTCCATAAGGTGTTCCACCTTGACACACAGGGAGGACCTGGCTCAATAGCAGCCAAGTCATCTTCAACAACACCTGTGATAACTCCTTTACAAATCCTATACAGGTATTTCTGATCCCAGGACAGATCTTTCTCCACTTCATCATTAAACACAGGGAAATCAGGGAAACTGACTGGCTGGAAGGCGACAACTGGAAGCTCAGACAAAGACTCCTTGATCTGCTTTCCAATGGGACCACGCCAATGCTCAGGACCACTTGGTTTACCATCATAGTGATAAAAAACTGCGCGGAAAGGCAGCTCATTTCCGTGAAGCTGACATATGAAATAATGGAGCGGGTGACCAAGTAACATTTCAAGATGATGAATGACTCCATTTTCTGATCCTACATTTACATTGGTTCCATCACAACCAACACACACAATGGGCTGCTGGGTTAGATTTTTCTCCACCAGAAACTCGTGAATAGTTTTGGCAATCTGCTTTCCGTGTCCAGTCTTGGGAGTCACATGTGTGAGATATTCATTGCCAGGCTCAACCATGATGACATAATGATCTTTCACCATCATCCTCGAACTCCATTTCTCGGTCTTCTCATTCTTTATCATCACACGAGTGGCGGTCTTCTTACCATCAAAATAGAGTGACGTCAAATTATCTAAACTAGCCATCTCAATTTCTTGCCTCTTAAATCGGTATTTTTGTCTCGCATCCCGCAGCTTATGTGGTCCAATAACCTGACTCTTGTCATCCTTTGTGATAATGCCATAGTCAGTTAAGGTGGCAGTAGCAATGGCAGCTCCAGCATAATCACTAATCAAGTATCGGTCACAAGCGGCAGCCAGTGTAGGGAGTCTTGTCCGGTTCTGTGAACTGGTGTCTGTCAGAGCCCTTGGATCAGGGACAAAATCAGCATCAGTATTGACGAGAGGAATATCTCTTGAATCATCTGAATTATCCTCAACATAAGGAATATCTCCAGCTACCAGATATCTATGTTTTTGCTCAAGCTGTCTCCTAACTCTGTCCGCATCATGCTTCTCTCTTGCCGTCACTCTGTCCCACATCTTCGTCACTTTCATGTCAACCCCTGCTATCTTCATCTTCCTATCACCTCGCTGGTCAAGGAGAAACTGCACCTCACGTTTGGGAACTTTTATAACACAATTACATGCCAGGTGATATCCGTCACACTCCTTAACTATGCACCTCACATCCTGACAGGAGGCAAGGGGACAATAACAGCTACAGATATCAAACAACTCTTTCATTTCTACCTGAAATGCAGCTTTTTTGCCTACATTCTTATTCTTACTTAGTTCAATTCCTCTACTGTACAATTTTCTCAACCTTTCCTCAATATTTTTTTGGCTAAGAAGAGGAACATTCTGCCTATCTCCAATTGCTTTTTCCCATATTTCTGAACAGTCCTGGGCGGCCATCTTTATAATCATTGAGACACCTGCAAACTTTCCGTCATCACATTTATATCGCCAGCAGTTCTTTAACATCTCGCCTTTCGAGGGAAGTTTGTCCACTGGAAGAACACTTGCAGAGCCAAACAATGCATGATCTGTGGCTGCCCTCGTTAATACAGTAGCCATCTTGATAGCAAATTGATCAGATCACCTGAAAAGAAAAAGAAAAAGTTAGTTATTAGAGCAATTTCTGAAAACACATCATCAATAGGCTTCTTGTGCATTAGTAAATAACGCCAAAATTAGTTAATCAGAAATATAATGTAGCCTAATTCAAATAAATGAAAATGGAAAGTATGTAACTAGTACTGTGCCGCCAACTTGCCCCATTTTTGTTGAGCCAACTTGTCCCAGCCGTACCAGTGATCATAAATAAATTATTTTGGTATATATCAAGAAGCCTAACATGAACTGTTTCATGGATAAACAATCCTTAAGCGCTAAGTTGAATTATGGCTAAATTGGATACTACAGTACTTGTCTATAACCTCACACATGTTACAGCAAACCTTATAAGAGAATAAAATTTACTTACCAGCATCAAAATCAATTTTCCCCCACTCTAATCAAGACGTGCGGCGTCTCAGAATGACTGCTTATGGGTGACTGAGGAAGCACGTGGTGATCCTGCGGTGTGAACTGCTTAACGGTAACTATTTGAATAATTTCAAGTGCGCCAACTTACCCAGGTCTCCCCTACATTACAGTACAGTAACACAACATTGAGAAATGAAATGAGAAAAGGCTGATAATCAATATAGACATAGCACCATACTCATCTGCAACAAGACAACTTAAATGAAATAAGAGATATGAAAAAAGTTGATAAACACTGAACAGAACATTGCACCGCCACAGCGGCTGTTTGGCTAGTACTGTAGGTAAATTTAAAAATTTCAGTAGAAAATGCGGCAGACTAAACCTCGACATATCAGCTTCAAATTTGGCATGGAGTCTTAGATATGTATAAGGAACAATGCCTGAAGAGTGCAGCTTTGAGCAAAATTTCACTGCCCCCTAAAGTACAGTATGCACATAGCATGTCTTCCGACTTATGTACAAATCCGACTTGAGATCGTCCTCAGGAAAGAAATCCATTCATAAGCCGGGAGCCCCCTCTACTGTAGGGCACTTTATGATACAGTGTTGTCGAAAAAAAAAAAAAATCGGTTTTTTCACTAAAAAATTAAATTTTGATTACACAAAGTGGGCATGGCTTTGAAGTAGAGGAAAAGTGTAGGGTAAGAACATGCAAAATAAAACCCAACTATTACAGGAAGCTTTAATGAATGTAATATTCAAGAACAGGTGCCTGGATGAAGGAGCTGAGTTACGAAGCTTTTCAAGAAAAGTAACGTCCTTCAGTTTATCAATAACTTCCCAAAAATGTTGAAGGAAATAAAATTTTTGCCAAAGCAATCACCATGAAACCTAACAACGGTAAATTTTTCTTGAAGCTCTGTTCACTTGTAGCAAGTTAAGAATATATTTTTTTAGTGTACAGTATTTGTGTGTGCCGAGACCGAATATGACCTTCCTTTTTGGCGGAAATTAGCCGGGTTTTTTAAGCGATTTTTTTTCGTTTGACGTTTTCCGAGAAAAAAGTGCCTAAGCGACTAACATATACACAATAAAACACTAGAAAAACAATACGCAAACCAAACCTAACCTAACTTAACTGACTCTCACCATATGATGGAAACATCTATTTTTTACCTTATTGGCCTGGTTCTTGTTCGTCGTTGGATTCTGGGATTCTTACCCAACGCCACATATGTTGGTCTTTACGATATTTACATTCAGTCTTGCTCTTAGTACACTTTACTGAGGTTGGAAGAACACCATGCGATCAAAAAATGCTATAGTTTCTACGTTATTTTTTTTCCAAAAACTCGCAATCAGCTCCATATACTACTTTGTGACACCCATCGCAGACTTCCATGGTCGGAACTGAACTTGAATTTCAAAATATGAGAGACCCAAAATAAAACTCAATTTTGATTGGGCCAAATATACTCTGAATTAGCAAAAACACTTTTGACGTGTACGTGTACGCATGCGAGTCATGATTTATGAAGGAGACGCAAGACACACTCAGTGTTAGGTGAGAGGCAGACGATAATGGCACCATGTTAATGAAAGAAAATAGAAAAAATTTTGGAAAAGCTATCTCTGTTATTATACATTTCTGCAGGTAATGTAATAGATGAAAATTATATTATAATTAGACGTCTTATTTGAATATGATAATAGATTAGGGGTAGGAATGAACGAAGCTACAAGAAAATAATACCCTAACAACTCTCAAATATAGTATCAGTATACAGTACATGCCTAACCAAACCTAACCTATCCAGGAGGGCAGAGCCCCTTGGACTCCCTCAGTTTGTAAACCTAACCTAACTGAACAAGAAAAAAGAAAACCCAGAGGAACCTGTGAAACCAAACCTCACATTTTCCCTCTACAGTACCTCAAAGCTTTGCCCACTTAAACAACTAATATTGTTGGTAATTTTATCATTTAAAATACTGTACTCGAAAATTTTAATTTCTGATGGAAATGCTATACAGGTAGAATAAATTTTTATAATTTTTTCTTTCTCCCTATAGAAGACTCAATATATAAGTAGATTTGGCAACTATTAAATATTAACCATGAACACTTCTGTAACATGTAAAATATTACATTTATTATATCAAAAGCTGCAATACCTAACCAACCTAACCTAATCTAACCAAACCTATTTTGCACTTTAAATTAGTTTTTAGTTTTTGTTGTCCTACTTTGCACTTTCACTGTGGAGGTTTTGTCCAAGGGGCTTTTGTCCTTGAGGGCTTCTGGGTATTATTGTTTCGGTCATGCAGTGAATTTTAGGATTTTAAGCTTAGGTTACATTTGGTTAGTTAGGTTAGGTTGAAATTTTTTTATTGTTTTTTGAACGATTCTGACCTATAGGTACATAACTGAAACGACAATTTCAACGGGTTTTGTCCGGACATACCTGGCCCACTAGGCTTCACAACTTTTGCTTGATGAAGTTACAGTTCAGAGAACTAACTGTCAGGGCAAACATTTAGCTTTGGGGGGTTAATATTCGGCCAGTGGCTGTCCGCAGGTTTCCAATTTTGAACATTACAGAAACAAAGACTATAAAAAAACAAACATCGAACTTCATATTATTTCTGGTGCAAATCAATATTAACAGAGTATCTCACAAATTTCTGGGCGTAAATTTCTGTATCTGCCATGTTGCCAGTCACTTTTCTCCTCCCCTCCTCCTGCTCTTTCCAACATGATAACCCATGATCTTCAAGTAACGTGTCATGTGACTTGGCTGGCTAATCATTATGAAGGACCCATTTTGAAGGCTCGTGATGGCGTGCGAAAAGTGCTCTCTCCCTTATCTAGCTGTTATTCAACGAGTTTATCAGAACAATGGTGAAGCAATCCAAATATTACAAGATCACGGTGTCCTACCAAGACTGTGTCCTAAGTGTGGAAAGTTCAAAATAAGAAAATACATAAATTCTTTTGTCTGTAACCAAAAGCATACCAGATCGCCCAGCTGTATCCTCCACCACAGTAGCAGATAAGCTTAAAAAATGATTAGGTTAGGTTAGGTTAGGTTTATTGTTTTATGGTGTGTTTTGCTCAAACCTGATTGCCATTTTTGTGCAAATTTGCTATTTGTGTTACAAATTATTGTTTTACTTCAAAAACCGCTAATTTGCACCAGAAATGAAGGTCAGATTCGAGTAAAACACACCATGATACACCAATAAACATAATTTTGTATCTCAAAACCTGAGGACAGCCAACGGACGAATATTTACCTCTTATGGATTAAGAGTTGTGAACTCTTGGAACAATCTGCCAGACAATGTTGTAACTGCCTCAAGAGTGAGTTCATTCAAGGATCTTAACACTGGCGCAGGTTACACATGCTGGAGCCTGTTACATGCCAAGCTTATTGCCAACAATGCGTAAAACAGATGTGACCGATTGTTCAAGCGGCTAACGAGTCGAACAGTAGTGAATAAGATAAAGTGCAGATACTTAATTATTAAAGAGACCACAAACTTGAATTCGAGGGTATACACCATGTCATACCTGTTGGGTGCACGTCTCTTGGGAATATTTCCCGCCAAATACTGAGTGCCAGCATTATGCATGTTAACCAGAACCTCCCAACAATCACGCCACTTCATTTCTGTTTAGAATATCACCTGCCGTAGTCCTCGCTCTTCCAAAACATCTTCACGTGAAGGTTCATGTTTGTTGTCGTCACGTGTAAATTATACTTCCTGTTTTGTACACACCGACATGAACTATCGCAAATTACAGCCAGGGAGTATATGGCAACTTATGCAGGGCGCGTTTATTCAAATATGTAATGACGAGTACCAAAGATTCTTATTATAGGAGGCTGGCTTACTCCTTTTTTTTATCCTGCCGCGACGGTGGTTTTGACAAACGGCCGTTGAGTATAGTCCATAGCGCTTTGCGTGATATTGTACATCGCGCAATTGCGGGGCTGGACCGCCGGATCCAGGAACAAAAACAAAAGGGGTCAAAGAAGTTGTGGGTGGGAGAACATGACAAGCACAGCGAGCCCACTCAGCTGTGTTATGAAATCTGACTAATATCATAGAAATTTTGAAGCCATGTGCACTTGACATTAGGAGATTTTCTGAGGACAATAGTAATTACTTTTTACTTTACAAAACTGACTGCATTAAAGAAAGGGTATTGGAATTTTCAGATGAAAGGGGGGTCCGGACCCCCAGGTCCCTCCTGGATCCGCCCTTGCAACATTATATTTTGATTGAATAATCTGGCGTTATCGCAACAAGGTTAAGTCGGGTTAAGTTAGGTTAGTCTAAATATAAGTTGACCGCACGCTATAGTAGTGTGGGGTACGGGTTATTTGGTTCACACTCAGGATGGGATGGAGAAAGGAAACTCATAATGTGCTCTCTGTATGCATATTGTATTGGATGTACAGTGCAGCTTGGTGCTGGGAAGTGGCAGCGTGGTTACAAGCGTGATGTAGAGAGAGCTGGTTGGTGAGGGTGCTCAGAGGAGGACCAGCTTGTGGGTCGCCATGCTCGCCGGTGGGAGCGAGGGCCGCCAGGCAGGAGCGGAGGTGGTGTTACTTGAAGACTGGCTGTAGGTAGAAAGAGAGGTAGGTCACCACGAGGTCAGGTCTTATGTAGCGGAGGTAGGCGTGGCTTAATAGTTGACCTCCGTCATGTAAGGCGGCGCTGGTTGACCTAGACCATGAGGCATACACTGGGGAATTCGCGGGGTCGGCTACTCAGCGACAAACAGCGTTTGTAGGGGAGGAATCCACTACAATACTCCCCCTTCCCTCCAGGCGGTGTAGGAGACTTGTTGTCTGCAGGGTTGCATGGCACATGTGAGGCAGAACGGGCGGTGCATGCCACATGTGAGACAACGGCGAGGGCGTGGATGAGCCGGCCGCTAGGGGGGGGCTACTCTGTCTAGATACACGAGATCTGTGGGAGAAAAGAGGGGGAAGGAGGGTTGTGGAGGCGATGAATGTTGTGCTTCCCTCACGACCGGTACAGAGTCCTCAGATGCGCCTGCTGGGGTGTGTGGGCCTGGGTCAGGAGCAGGGGCTGCATTAGGAAGAGTGTCCATGACAGCAGCAGGGTGCAGGACAGTAGCAGGGGGTACCTGAGGGAGAAAAAATGGGTGTGTGGGGCCGCTGAGGAGCATGAGCCGCGTCGGGAGCAGGGGCTGCCAGGCAGGAGCGGAGGAGGGTCCAGGACAGTGGCAGGGGATACTGCTGGGCCGGGGGCGGCGTCTGAGGCAGGACGGGTGTGCTGGGGTCGGTAGAACGTGGTGCTTGGGGCAGGAAGAGGAGCTGGTGTCTGCTTAGAGAAGCAGTGCTGCTCTAGGGTGTCTAACCTGCGGTGTAGAGACAGTAGCTGTAGAGCCAATGAGAGCTGCCTCTGTGTGGATAAGCCAGTCTTCCATGTTGCTTGAAGACCGGGAGAGTGATCGGTTTCTCCTCCATCCTGTGTGAGTGCGAATCTCCGGGGGTCACCATTTGTGTGGTTGTGAGATATTGGTTCACACTCAGGATGGGGTGGAGAAAGGAAATTCACAATGTGCTCTCTGTATACGTGTTGTATTGGATGTACAATGCAGCTTGGTGCTGGGAAGGCAGCATGGTTACAAGCGAAGAGTAGAGAGAGCTGGTTGGTGAGGGTGCTCAGAGGAGGACCAGCTTGTGGGTCGCCATGGTCGCTGGCGGGAGCGAGGGCCACCCGGCAGGAGGAGGAGGAGGAGGTGTTGCTTGCTGGTTGGTGTACTTCGAAAGAGGTAGGTCACCACGAGGTCAGGTCTTATATAGCGGAGGTATTCGTGGCTTAATAGTTGACCTCAGTCATGTAAGGCGGCGCTGGTTGCTGACCTAGACCACGAGGCATACACTGGGGAATTCGCGGGGTCGGCTAGCCAGCGACAAACAGCGTTTGTAGGGGAGGAATCCACTACAGTAGCACCAAAGTGTTTTTATTGAATAATCTGGTGTTATTTTAAACAATTTGGTGCTACTTATAGCGTGCGGTCAACAAAGGTATATTTAAACCTAACCCGGGGCGGGGGCAGCGCTTTCACGAGTAATGGTCCGTCTTACCGAAGTTAGAACCAGTTTTATCCTGAATTCCTACCTTTTACCCTAGATATGTACTCAAGGGCGGATCCAGGTGGGTCCTGGGGTCCGGACCCCCTTTTCACCAGAAAATCCAATACCTTTTCTTTAATGCAGTATTGTACTCAGGCATTTTTTGTAGAGTAAAAAGTATTTACTATTGACTTCAGAACATCTCTTAATATCAAGTGCGCATGGCTTCAAAATGGCCTCAAAATGCCCATGATATTGGCCAGATTAAAAAAAAAAATCTGGGGGCTTACAACCCTCCTCCCCTGAAAAAAACCCAGCTGAGATGCTCCTTCCTCTTATTACAATGGAACATCCAGGGCCTTTCGAGCTCTCCCATTATGTGTTCTCCCGTCAAGTAAACCATCTCTGACGATGTTGCTCTACTCCGCACATCTGGATATACTGTCTACACTCTACACCCTGCCTCGTCACAGTGAACAAGCTCGTGGCCTTCTCACCAATTTACGTAACACCATTCCATCTGTTCATCTTCCTTCACCGGACTCACATGGACCCCTGTCTGAACTACTTTTTGTCTCCTTTACTCTTGGTGACCCCTTCGTGTAGTCAATGTTCATTTCAAGAGTGATGCTCTGGACCCCCAGGTTCTTCACGAGCTCCATGATGGGATTCCCACTCTTATTCTCGGGAGACTTTAATGCTCTCGATCTCACTCTTACTCCACATTATCACACTTAATATAAACTCTTAACGGATCGGTTCACTCAGTTTTTTTTCTTTGCTGGGAATGATGATGTTTGCTTTGTTTATTTTGACAACCCTATTCGCCTCCCTCAGAGCAGCCATTTCTGGACACCCCGCCCACCTGGTACGGTGCCCTTCGTAAACTTCCTGACTTCTGGTATATGTACGGGAAAGGGTCGCGGAAGAGGGACGTGATTACTGCTCGACTCATTATCGGGTACGATTTTGCTTGGGAGATTGGTATACCCACCCCTCCCGAGCAACGTGCTTGTGTATTATGCAAGAAAGCAGACAGCCGCACACTTATCCACTACATCCTGAGATGTCCCCGCATGGCCAGATGTTTCATAAATAATGGTGATGTTATTTTGAAGAAATATCCTTCTTTCCTTAGACTTTAATAAGCTTCTTTATTTTATTTTATTTTAAATTGTTTTATTTTATTTATATGTATTTGAAACTCCTGCCCCATTCTTCTGGCAACATTGTACAGGGGTACTTAGTGACAGCACTAGGACCCCGTTTCTTATCATTGCTATAATGTGGAATAAACTGTTGAAATTGAATTGAATTAATAAGTACTTACATGAATACTGTAAACATAATATAAATATTATTTTTTTTTAACTATGCTCAACATTTGCTTAAACTGTCATTTGATCAAAATTCATTGTTAATATCGCTAAATACTGTGCTTAATAGACTTGGTAAAGAGGACACATTAAAATAATGCCTCATGATGACGCTTCCTATCGCTCTTCTCATTCCCTCGTCACTAGCCCTCTGGGCCTCATCTTTAAGTTTGTGCACCACTACTAATAGACGTTCTTCAGGCAAGCTTGCTGTGTCTGGCTCTCTGACATGCCAAGACATGTTGAGCGACATCATATCGACAAACGTTCCTTGCGCTTTCTTGGGGAACACGTTCTCAGCACGTCAACCTGCATTAATGACAGCGTATTGGCAAACGTTCATTACCCCAGCTAGGTCACAGCTCTACTGGTGTTTCTCTATGAGCTGAACAGTCGCATAAAGTCGCGTTTATGCTTACTGGAAGGAAAACGTCTATCCTGTATATCCATTGGTTGGATGATATTAATTCGCTGTCATCAGCATTATTTAGATACAGTACAGTATTTTTTTATTTATTCCACTTTGTGAAATCCTGTATACTAGTCAAAACTATAGGTACCATACAGACGGAGAATTATTGCAAATTGGCTTGTACTTTTATTCGTATGCTCGTACCTCGTAGAGACCAAGTAAAGAAGATAAAGTGTAATGTATACTGTGTACACTGTATCTGCAATAAATGCTTTATTCTGTTTCCTTAACGTTGCTAAACTTTTTTCACATCGATCAGACTAAAGCTATCAAGGAAGGTCGACCAAACTCCTGGTAGCGAGACAAGAGGGAGGGAAGATGGTTATAGTAGGAGTTCTGATACTGTATTCACATCACCTGATATTTTACTTTGCCTAGCCTCTGTTTTTCTTCTGCAGGTTGGAAAAAATAAATCATTTGAATTAACCTCCACGGCATACTAAATTGCACGCCAAATAATTAAGTAAAACTTTTATTCATAGTTGAATATTGATAATTTTCCTTCATATTCAGATATATATTTACGATTTTTTCTTCTACAACAGAACAATTGTTTACTACGTTTTAAAAACCACTAAAACATATGTAAACATGTATTATCCCAAGCGCAGTATCGTCATCTTGCTAACAGTTGCCTGTGTGAATAAAAGGAAAGGTGGTCCCTGGCATGAGAGTCTGTTAGGGACTGTGTGGATACAGTACTGTATACGTACTGTACTACAGTAAGCCTGCGGTACGCCAGAGGGAAGCTTGACCGACTCTACGCTCGGCAACCTTCACTTTCCCAATTAAAAAATTACTTTCTAAATCAGTAATGTACCCATTTACAAAAGAAGCG